AATTATTACGTTTCAATATTTGTTTTAAGTAATATAAAAAGATACAGTACTAGAAAATAATTAGAAAATCAAGATAATTGTGAAGTAACCGGTTCTGACTTCTTTAATAACTTGTAATTATTTTTTGAATTTGTAATGCCCTCACTTAATTTATATGTTATTTAAATTATTTTACCTATATTATTTTTTAGTTCTTTAATTTTTAATTTTAATTTCATATAAAAAAAAAATTGATAGAGTATGAAATTAGAAACAATTTTATTGAAAAAGAGTAAAAATTTAGATTTTGTGAGTATTTTTGAAAGAAAAATAAAAAATTAAGGGTTAAAATATAATTTAAGAAAGTTGTACCACGTACGATGCCCGTTCAGCAGCCCTGACGAACCAGGACGCGCTGCTTGGCAACGGACGCTGACGCGGTGTCACGCAGACGATCCGCGTGTCCGTGATCGAACAATCCAGATCTGTTCCTGCGCGTATGAATGACCCAGATGCGTTCTTTCCCCAAACGCGATCGGATGGTCAGATTTAAACGCGATCAACGGTCCAAATCTACATCTTATTTAAATACGATCGGACGGTTCAGATTAGGTCACGATGGACGGCCCAAATTAAATGAGGACGGACATAAATAACTCTATTCACAGTAAACCTTAACCCTAGCCACCGACACCATCGCTGGAGAAGAAGACCCAGCTGCCGGGAAGGAGAACCGCTGCCACTCCCCGCTGCGCCAGAGCTACTTCTGACTGCTAAAAGAGGTAAAAAAATTTTTCTTTGCTCGGAATTCAATTTTAAACATACTCATTGCCAAATCGAAATAAAAGGATCGGCCGAAAACTACAGACAAAGCCTGGCGGTGCCGCTGCGAAAAATTTCAAAAATTGTCTCCGATGAGTCCCTTCTCGATTCCCGTTATGTGTAATTTTTTCACTATTTTGATCACTGTTTCCTTATCTACAGGTCGACCGAAGTAAAGCACTCGACTGCAAAGTGAGCCAGCGGAGCTGCCGCACCGAAGAGACCCGTCACCGACAAGTTTCGATTTTTCATTTTTTTTGGGCTAACCAAAGCCCCTTAACGTATTTTTTCGCTAAAATTGTTGCAAAATTGGCTGAAAATAACGAACCCGAGGCGGAC